TTTCATTCTGTGTACGTTACTGGATTTCACTAGCGCTGCAATTTCGCATGCGCTAAAAGGTGACTCACCTAACAACACTGGTTCCCAAATGATTGGATACTGGCTAGTGACGTCGTACCTCGTTATCAGAATGTCGTCGGCCGAAAAATGTGCAAGTTCTGTGCAAAAAAAGAAAGTATTGGTAAAATTATTAAATGCAGAAACTAATATATTGTATTCGACATTTCTATCACCTGAAGATGGAAGGCGGGTAGCAAGTGGTAACGTTTTTTTCGATTTTTATATGTTTTATAAGTCAGTTCTCTGCACAGTTTGAGGTTTGGTAAAAGTCAAATGGAGGATAATCCGCTCGAAAATCGATGAAATTATACTCATTCGACGCGTTTTTTCATAAAACGAAAGAATCGGGTGGCACTCGGTTGGACACGGCTTAATTGGACACGAGCCACTCACAGCGCTTGAAACTACAAAGCTCCTAAGCACCGGTCGCTGTGATTGGTGGTGCCCAATCGAGCCGTGATTAATCGGGATCACCTCAACGCATAGTGCATAGTGCATAAGCGAATCAACTAATCAGAATCTTTCCTTTCCTCATTCCATGGAAAAGAAGAATTTTGATTGATTGATTCCTTTACGCACTATGCATTATGGGTGGCACCCAGTTGGACACGAGCCACTCACAGCGCTTGAGACTACAAAGCTCCTAAACACCGGTCGCTGTGATTGGTGGTGTCGAACCGTGATCAATCGTGATCACCCCTGCATTATGCGTTATTCAAGAGCGTGTGCTGCGGTCATAAACGTTAAAGTTGACGACTATTCAGGTTAGGAAATCTGTCAGCCGCGAAACACTGTGCTACGATCATGCGATTATATTTTTTCACAAAAGTACTGCTTCAAAAATATAAAAAATCAGTACTTTAAAAACACAAAAGTACTGTTTCAAAAACACAAATTCTTTGCATTAGTAGTGAACAGTCGTGAACTTTAACAATTAATATCTCGGTTCGCGGGGCAGAGCGACGCTATTTTCTGCCAGATTCTTTCGTTTTATGGAAAAACGCGTCGAATGAGTATAATTTCATCGATTTTTGAGAGGATTACCCTCCATTTGACCTTTACCAAACTTCAAACTGTGGAGAGAACTGACTTATAAAACATATAAAAATCGAAAAAAACGTTACCACTTGCTACTCGCCTTGCATCTTCAGGTGATAGAAATGTCGAATACAATATATTAGTTTCTGCATTTAATAATTTTACCAATACTTTCTTTTTTTGCACAGAACTTGCACATTTTTCGGCTGACGACATTCTGATAACGAGGTACGACGTCACTAGCCAGTATCCAGTCATTTGGGAATGCTTGTCCAGTGCAGTATCCAGTATAATGGCGGCTACTGGATACTGCACCGAAACGAAATGGGAACGCACCATCTACCGTATCGACACCACGTGACACGCGTGCCGCGTGAGCCAATCGGAGCACCTATGAGGCGCGTGCCGCGTACCGATGCGTTGCGACGAAATTCTAGGCAGGATAACTCCGCGTGAAGTTAAGAAATCGTTTTCATATGCTATGACCGTCATGTCATTACTGTCCTACGCGAGATTTAGAGAAAATTAGCTTACTCTAAACGCCTCAACGCCTATAATCCTCCAAAATAAGAATAAGTTATCGCGCACCAATCACCCCTTACGGAAAAATACTATTAAGAATCAATAGTTACTATTGGTGTTCCAGTAGTTACTACTGAGACTTCAGTAGTTATTTTACTGAGACTACAGTAGTTACTATTGAGGCTCCAATAGTTACTGTTATGACTCCAATAGTTTGAACTTCGGAGAACCTGAAAATAATTATTATATTAACACCAGATTCAAGAGGAAAAATTGATACATAAATAAAGTAAGTAAAGTAAATAAAAATCATTTGTGCATCATTATAAAATTACTGTCAGTTATGTTTTAAGTATTTATTTATGAAATTAATTCCAAATTGGATCAAACACGAATAGTATTGCACCATAAAACGTTAATTAGATTATATTTTTCAGTATAACATTTGTTATCATGAGATACACAACGCATGATGGAATGGGGGAAACGGTACCAAGATGATAAATGTTTATAAAAATATATTCTAATTAACGTTTTATGATGCAATATTGTTCGCATTTGATCCAATTTGGAATTAATTTCATAAATAAATTATTAAAACCTAACTAACAGTGATTTTTTTATAACGATGCGAATAAGGATTTTATTTGGAGTGATCCCGATTGATCACGACTCGATTGGACACCACCAATCACAGCGACCAGGTGCCTAGGAGCTTTGTAGTCTCAAGCGCTGTGAGTGGCTCGTGTCCAATTGAGCCGTGTCCAACTGGGTGCCACCCATTTTATTTACCTTTATATCAATGTACCAATTTTTCTTTAGGTCTGGTGTTATTATAATGATTATTTTTTATTTTTACGAAGAAAAATACATAAGAAAACATAGAAAACATAGAAAAATATATAAGAAAACATAGAAATAAAATAATCCCCGAGTGGTCGCGCGAAACCTTCGAAAATTTGTGTACAATATATACTCTACTCCTTTCTATTGATCAATAGTAACTATTGACCAACAGTAATTATTTATCAACAGTAACTATTGATCAACAGTAACTATTGGTCAACAGTAACTATTGACCAACAATAACTATTGGCCAACAGTAACTATTGATCAACAGTAACTATTGGCCAACAGTACTAACTATTAGCCAAATTACTATTGGCCATTTTAGTATTTATTAATAGTTTTTTTCCGTAAGGGACGGCCCGCGATGCGCATGTCGTTCGTCGTTCCGAACTCTTAGCGGAACTTCAGCCAGTTCAGCCGTTCTGGCCGAGAATATTGTTAGTTTTGAAGTCTCGTATTGCGCTAATACATTTTTCTAATTGATTCGCTATCATTTGGTCATCGTGACCGCCTTAACCAATTCGGAACGGATGAGTAAATGCGAACCAGTCGCGTTAGTGAGCGCCGATCAATAGGGAGTCGGGAAAGGAGCAGCGCGGACCCTGGAGAAGGACCTAAAGTTTAATTTACTAATAACTTTAAAATTCTACTAATTAACACGGAAATAACTTGATTTCTCAGTTTTAAATTAAGTTCGCGTAAACCATGTCAAGTTTTAGTCCGGTATGAATAATATTTTGAGGAGAAAAGTCCATTTTTAGCATTTGTCACGTACGCCCAATTTTGGGAAATTGCGCTCCCCCTTCCTCCTGAACACCACCGACTGAGGCCTATATATAAACAGGGCGAAAACCGAGCCCGGGGTTCATTATTATTCATTCTCTTGCTGATGGAGCAAGTGAACTACGTCATTTTTGATCAGTCATTTTTTTCCTGATCAAGCCATAAGGACTGGATCTCACCGAAGGGTTATTTGTTGGAATATCGCTAATAAAATCGCATATACTAAAGAGCAGAAGTACGCATGGCTTAATTCAAGATTCCCCTTTCCTATACCCCTCGGGCTGACTGCGCTTGTAGGAGCTGCTCAGTTCGCCCTCCTCCTTCGGACTAACTGCGCTTGTAGGAGCTGCTTATAGTTCGTCCTTTCTCAGAATTGACTGCGCTTGTAGGAGCTGTTCAATTCTTCTTTCCATTACTACTCATCTCTCTCACAAATTTCTTTCTTTCATTATAATAAGGTCAATTAATCGCGTCGGGAACATAATAAAATTACTTTTTCAATAGAATGATCAACCTCGTTAACTTCAATGTAATCCGCGTGTCAGCTAGTTCTGTATTAAATAGAAATTCAACCTTTAATATGGCGTTATATTCCGTTCTGCTCAATCATCCTCCGAACCCCATCCTTCAAAAGTATGAAGTGATGAAACGGCTCGAATTGCTCGGATCCATCATTAATTTCCTTACTAAATAAAAGTTAATCAAGTAGATAATTATTTCAATTACAATAATTCACTGAAGCATCGACGCTAACAGCGAATTCAATGAATAGTTCATAAATTACTCAATCGAGTAACTTATGACGTCACATATTTACAAAGAACAATTTTGAATTCTATTTTGAGAGAATATTAACGAGTAACATTAAGATTTTAGAGCAAATGTATTAAATCAAGATTTATAAGGGATTCTTATAGCACGCGATAAGCTGGCGCTAGTGGTCTCATGGTTTGCCGCTCGACCTGAGACGCGCTCACATTCTGATCATACCTCCCCTACTTTAGTAAATACTCTGCCACTCTTCCAATCCAGTATCCTGCCCGCCCGCTGGACTGTCTTTCGCTCCCCACTCCACATCCAGCAGCGGCGAGGCCTCAAAATATAACGCAGGGATATTTAATTCGCAATATTACTTTCTTATAATTCATATTATAATTGGTGATAGCGGACTGATAATAGGGAAACCGCTGCATCTCAATGCAATAATTTAGAAACGCGAAAATTTAAACTTGTTACACCTCGCGTCGTAACGTAATTGGTGACAGCGATGGGATATTACGCGAACCGCTGCATCTTAATTCAATAACTTACAAACGTGGAGATATTTACATTGTTACCTCCGTCAGGTCGTAACAGTATGTACATATACCTATTACACACATTGAATTTGAATTTTACTTAATGTGTGTGTGTTAAATTAAATAAACTAGATAATGTTATATATTTCTTTATTGAGAAATGTGATATTTTTTTGAAAAATATAACACTGTGGCTTCAGTCACAATTTAAACCTATGAAGGAGTACTTTTGATATACTGCTAATTGCTAAGGCCCAGTTGCACCAACGACACTTTGACCTTAAGCGAGATTTAAAACTTTATCTATCTCGTTTTAAAATCAAAAAGAGACAGAGACAAAAAGAGTTTTAAGCGTCGCTTAAAATCAAAGTAACGTTGGTGCAATCGGACCTAAGGGCAATATACTTTGGATATATCATGGTATTCTAAATAGTTTAGAATGACTCTTACCCGGGAACCCACTTGGAGAAGTAACGTACATAGCCATCGATCCTCACCTTGGTCATACTGAATATAATGCCTGGCTTCGGTAGATTTGGTAGCGTATTTTGCCATTACGTTGGGCTGTTTTAACGCTTTTGCCCTAAAAAGCGAAAAACAGCCAGGACTGCATAGAACACAACCGATGGTATGTTCTGTAGATTTTTGCAACCAATGACCAATAGCGTACTCGAATTTTTGGAACCAAACCATTGGACCTATAACGAACAGTAAAACACTTAGAAGCCTAAAATAAAGTAATCACTTATTGTATTAGGTGCACAACTTTGCTTCCGCCGTTTTCCTATAGATGGTTTTAGCGGTAAGTGGTGGTCGAAATAAAGAGATCATAGATGTCATACCATAAATTTGGGCATTTGTCAACATAACCCCATAGAAACATTAGTCGATTTGTGTCTGCATCATAAAGTTATTCTCGATTGAACATGTCAGTTTACGAGCCAAATTCTCGTCATTTGTGGAAGGTTTTAATTTTCTGCTTCAATATAAAGAAATCTGCGGCTGAGGCTCATCGAATGCTCTCAAATACTTATGATGAGGCCGCTATTAGTGAAAGAACGTGTCGTGAGTGGTTTCAACACTCAAGAACGGTGATTTTGACGTCGAAGACCGGTATAGCGGTGGAAGAGAGAAGGTTTTCGAAGATGCAGAATTGGAGGCATTACTTGATCAAGACTCGTGTCCAAATCAAGAAGAATTGGCAAGATCATTGGCAGTGACTCAACAAGCCATTTCAAAACGCCATGGGAATGATTCAGAAGCAAGGAAATTGGGTGCCGTACGAGTTGAAGCCGAGAGATGTTGAACGACGTTTATTTGCTTGTGAACAGCTGCTTGATAGGCAAAGACGGAAGGGATTTCTGTCGATTGTGACTGGGGACGAAAAATGGGTTCATTACGATAATTCCAAGCGCAGAAAATCATGGTGAGTTCCCGGCCATGCTTCCACGTCGACGGCCAAACCGAATATTCACGGCTCCAAGGTCATGCCCTGTATTTGGTGGGACCAGCTCGGCGTAGTGTATTATGAGCTGTTAAAACCGACTAAAACAATCACAGGCGATCAGTATCGAACGCAATTGATGCGTTTGAGCCGAGCATTGAAAGACAAACGGCCGCAATACAACGAGAGACACGATAAAGTGA